CTAGCGTTGATCATTTATCACTACCAAGTCTACCAAATGTTATTAGCATGTTGCTAAAAAACGTAGCTATTTCCAGTTACCTGGTCACATGTCTGTCATGTATCTTCAGATGGTGAGTAATTTTGCCTTATTTTACTTTTATCATACAATGGTTCACTTCAATTTATTCTTTGTGTTGTCGTGATGACTCACATTGAAGTAAATGAAGTCCGAGCTCGCGGTTACCATAAAGTGTGACTACGTCCCAATCTGAAGTGACACGTTCTTTTTCTGTCCTCCCCAATGCCGCGGCACGTTCTCTCTTTGGCACATTCTCCGCACTCCTCAGACGAGTCGTCGCCCGGCTCGAGATATGTCATCGCTCATCTGTGCTGTGAGTCGCGAGGCGGGGCGAGCAGCACTTCAGATGAGACGGACTGCGCGTTTCGTGATGGTGGCTCTGTACTGATGTCCATCACCGTACTAGTTTGTATTTATCATGGCCAATTTTTTTTTTAAGTTAGGCAGTGTGTAGCTTTGTGCGAGCGGGTTCGTTTAATAATACAACTTCTGGAAAGAGTAGAAGTTCTTTATTTGGACTTCCGTCGTGGTCGGAAGGGGAATGCAATCACCATGCGTACAGCTTGTAGACTCTCGTACGACTGCCGAATGGCTGCGCATGCTCCGTGTATACTCTGTGCACTTTGGACAGGCATCGCTAGTCGAACAAGCAAATACGATTTGCTCGTATCATTACAGGCGGGTGATGGTTGTCGTTGGGTCACCGTTAGGGTCGAACATGAGTGATTTTCCCAAAAGTGTTATTGTTCCAAGTCAGTGGAAGAATTACAGTACTGTACATTGATTTTTAAAAACTTTTTTTTTTTAATCATTATTTATAGTAATGATGTTTAAAGCATCCATGTGGTGCATATTCTTAGTCGTACAAACTGGATGGCTCCAAACTTTCAAAGATTATGGTCTGTCACAGTAAGAATCATATTGATTTTTAATTACTTTGTTTGTCTGATCGTATCACATTTCCAGTTGCTTAGGCCAAAGCGTCCATTCGTGCATGTCTTTTGATACTTCCTGTCAATCCCATAGTGGTCAATGTAAGCGCAAGATTGATTTCTAATTATCTTTGGGGAGCTAGTGACAAATACGTTAGTGGTGCACGTTTCTGGTGCTTTAACGCCAAGTTGAACGCCATCAAACTTTCAAGGATTATGGTTCTGTCACAGTAGGGAATCCGATTGATTTTTAATCATACCCGCTCCTCGATTGAAGTAGATCGGGCAGAATATCAGCTTCCTGCCAGTGCCAATTTTCAAATGATGTCCTTTCAACTTTCTTGCATTATTGTGATGACAACGTACTGTAAGGCCCCGCTTGATTTTGAACACCCGCTTGATTTTGAACACTTTCTGAGCAAAAGGATGCTGCTGATCATAAAATCAATTAGAACGATTTTATGATCATGAGAAGCCAAAATGGAAATCACAATAAAAATCAGATTAATTGTCGTTGTATTTCATACTCAATTGCATTCCGTGTCTTTTAAAATCAGTGTAAAAGGTGGCGATGTGTGTCACACGTGACACTTTCGATTCGTTTTTTTTTTTTTTTTAAGTTAAGAAAGAAAGCCATGGCAATGTATGCTGGCATTGGGAGTACGGGGAAGTGAGGCGGCAGACGAGGTGCGGCGGTCTCACCCGCGCTCAGTAAGTCCTTCAGTTCAGTCAATCAGTCAATCAGTCAAAGTGAATCAGGAGGAAACGACGGCAATAGGAAGAGCAACGGTGAGCTGACCATGCAGGACATGGTTCATTTTTCTTCCGAAGCAGAAGGCGTTTCGTTGCTGACTTTGATGGATAGGAACGTTGCTCTCACACACACACACACACACACACACACACACACACACACACACACACACACACACACGCACACACACACACACACACGCACACACACACAAATGCATACACACACACACACACACGCACGCTCACACGTGTCCCACACATGTTGTTCACACATACACAGGTCTGTGGTAGGCACACACCGCAAGCTGCACAGTCCCACCAGATCTCATGTCCAATTCGAAATGTTTACAACCTGCCCACGCCGCCGCTGCCTTCCTCCCATGTCAATAAAGCCTTCCCAGAAGTATGTGAGATGCATTAAGGCATCCACGTACGAGGGGTTGTACTCATGTCCTCCATCACGGCACAACTTGCGTGCAGCTCATTTGGTTTCTAGGCCACTTGATGACAAACGCATGCATTAGCACGCTTTACTTTAGTATAAAATATCAAACTGGGACGTTGTGTTCTTTCTGAAGTGGATTAGAACAAATGAACTGACTAGACTAGAATTGAATCCGTTTCATGTCATTCGGCCAGCGAAAAAGTTTGGCGAACAAGTAACACAAAACTTGTTTTAATTTAGAGACGTCAGGATATTATGTGAGGCCTTAGTTCAGTTAGCAGCATAGGCTTAGCTCGGAGCATGTTCTGACTACAATGGATATTTTAGTTCTGTTGGATTGTTTTTATGTGGCTATCTGCTGAGGTGTTTTTTTTCCAAATCAATTTCCAAAATTTTGCCACAATAGGAGCATAGTTGGGGAGTTGTTCCCCTGTAGCGTCGCTACACCCCCACCCTCCTCTCCACTCGGGGGTAGCGTCTTACACTCTTGAAGACACAAACCAAGAACACTTCCTCAAATCCTGCAGTCTTAGTGAATCAATATTAGACTTTCTTTTTCTTCGCAGAGGATAAAGGATATGTGAGCACTGTTCTATTTTCTGTGGACATGTGTTGATGCACCATTTGTGTTTAACCATCCTTTGCTTAAAGTGGTTATAACACCACCACCATCGATAGTATTCGCTAGCCTGACTATCGTGTTTTGCATTGTGTGTTAGCATTAAGCTAGAAGGAAACATTGTGTGGTCTGACATACACAAAGTGTAATTCTCTTTGTTTTATGTTAACTTTGACCGTAAACTTCAATTCGAAGCGTCATTCAACATCTTAAATCCTTTTATTTTGAAGAACTATTCCGAAAAAAATAAATACAACTTGTAAGTTGGATATCTGAGGCACCATTGTGTAGACATGAAGTAAATCCAGCCATTGGCTGTTCGGCTCGAATGCAGCTGTTTTGCAGGACATCTGTGTGAAAGAGGGTGACGTAAAGACCACTGGGTCACACTAATTGTGTCGTGAGCTCAACCGTAATGTCTTATTCTGGCAAATGAGGTCAGGTCGTTCTGCATGGATGAAAGAGGAAGTTCAGAGTGACACACATTAGTGCACCTTAACTTCCAAAAGGTTGACAGAGGGTGGCGGGGGGGAGTGGGGGTGTGGTAAGTAAGTTAAACACCTCCTTTCGCTTTGTTGTCAGCATGTGCAAGCGGGAATAAAAGAGATGACAACAGATAACGAGACAGAGCGAACTGTGTGTGTTATACGAAAAGGCTTATCTTGTCTTTGTTTGCACGTGGTGTCTCTGGGAGATAACAACTGTGGGTTTTTTTGTTTGTTTCTTTTTTTTTTTTACACACTCCACTGTCTCACTCACTCGCACACATTGACACACACATAGCAGGATGATTCAGTTCTCAGACAGCGTGATCATTCACTGAGGTGGGGGGATGCGCGATGTCTCCTCCCTGCTGTGTTTGCGATCAGACATTCTGTGCTGCTTCTGGACACATTGTACAGCTTTCTTCTTGTGCATCTTTGCGGTGAATTGCTTTGTGATCCTTATCATCATACCTCACAGTGTTCGGCTAGGGACTCTGGTACTCGAGGAACCATATCCTGCATGTTTTAGACGTCTCTCTTATCTAACACAACTAATTCAAATGATTGGGATGGCTTTCAGGCTTCTGAAGAGCTTGCTGATGAGTTGATCATTTGAATCGGGTATTTTGGAGGAGGGAGACATCAAATCATGCAAGATATGGGGACCCTAAGGACCGGAGTTGGTGGCCCCTGGTGTGGGCATTTGAGACCTTACCAGTGGGATGTACACGTTCACTGCTTGGAAGGCAATGACACTCTATGTCATATTGCATTTATGTTTGGGCTCATGCAACCTTGAGAATTTATGAAGTACTCAGTGGGCTAGTAGTTACGCCTTGGGGTTCTGATATTGTGGCTTTGAACCGTGTCTCCGGCCAGCCCGCGTGGCACTGGCTTGCATGGAGTTGAAGATCGAATTGTCCAGGAGTATGTGATTGAATATGTGTGCGATGTGATTGCCTAGCGAACAATATCTGTTCATCAAGGTTATTATAGTTTTGTTTTTTTTAATGGATTAATTAACTAGAACTAAAATTGAAAAAAAAACATTTTTTGTTCACGAAATAAAATTGAAACGAGAGGAAAAAAAACAAAAAGAGAAAAAAATGAAATGATATTTTACGTTTGTAAAGCTCACGAACACTAACTATAATCATAGCGAAAATGTCATTTGTTTTTATCTTTGTCAATTTTTTTATAGATGAAATTTCTGGGTTTATTTGAAATGTAATTATTTCTGTTCGACTGTGCGGAAGGAGGGTCACACAGCCGTTTGGAAATTGTACTTTACTTTATTACACAATACTAAAACCTAGTAAAAAAAACCCACTCTAAACGCTAATTAAAATAAACATCAAAAAAAAGAAACGTCATAAAAAAATTAAAACTCACTATAATAAAAATCCACTATTATAATAACCCTGCTCAACAGCAGGGACCCATTAATGGCAAAGAGGGAAATGATATCTATAGAACAGAAAATGGGAATTACTGTGTCATAATTCAGCACCTGGCTGCTCCAGACAATCCCTCCATTTTCTCGTGTTTGTTCTCATTCGGGTCATGGATGAGTTGGAGCCTATCCCACCTGACTTTTAGCACAAGGTGGAGTGCAGCCAGCGAAATTTAGGGCCAACTATTCATACTCACATAAAATAAGTAATACATATCAGAAAATGACTTTTAATATTTAAGTACTGAGAATGTCAGACACTTAAGAACTTTAACTCACGTAATAGTCTGCAAGCTGACTTATATTCAAGTTGCTTTCTGTTAAGATGTTTGTACTTTTACTTTTGTTTGACTTCCAGGACTCAGTACAAGCCTGGTTCCTGGATATGACGTGTTTGTTTACAAGTGTACATTGTAACCTAGGGGCGTGGTTAGTTACCTGCCACGATGACGCCACAGCTCACTTATAAAACCGGCACGTTTAATTTTTTTCTTTTTAATTTTTGCTCTTAAGGTCGTACGGAAACACGCTTGTGCTTCCCAAGTGTCCCTTTCAACGGTTTTGCGGGTCAAACACTAATTAACCCTGTAAATTATTTGTTTTAACATTTTATCATCGCCTCGGAACATTCTTTTGCAGAAATACAACGTAACGACTTGACCTTTCGGAGACGAGTCTACCTTTAAAAAAAGTCACATTAGTGACATCACGTCCGAGAAGAGTCTCCTTAAGAGGCAACTCGCCGACTCACTGACGTTCTTGTGACCGAGAGAGAAGTACCGGTGAGCGGATAGCTCAGAAGCAACGGGCGGGAGCGGTTTTGTGACCACCTTGCGGATATTTCATTTCGTTCATCTTTCTTTTGGGAATTCGCCGCTGTTCTGTTGATTTCGCACCTTACATGCCAAAGCTGGGGGAACAAATTGGACCTTTTACTTCCACGCGAAGCTTCGCGGTTCTCGCCACGGTCATCGGTAAGTACCGTACACCTTTTTAATCAACGGCGCATAAAATTCCTGTTCTGTCCCGTCCAAAACATTACACAGGCCGGTGGTTGTTGTATTGACCTCTAACGACGGATCAATAATAAAGCATATTGTCAAGGGAGTGCCATGCACATTGTGTTGGACGTTATTTACTTCAGCACACGGCTCGTATCGACCGAATGGTGAATGTCAGGCTGTTACTGTAAAACAAAATATGTAATTACCCGCCGGGTTTTGTTAATTAAAACTATAACTGGCATCCAATTTTCGTGCGGTGGCCGTGACCACAATAAAGTATTATGAGACTATGCTTTTTAATTTTAAATATAAAATGATAAATATGATTGGGTCTCTGTTCATAATTTGAGTAATAGGCCATTTCGTACCATTATATGCAATTGTGAAAGAAAACGGAGTCACCTCCTGGGATTAATTTGAAAGTGTCCTTGTGTGGCCACTGGGGGGAGATCGAGATCTTTTCACGTGAAAGGGGGCAAAACTCCATGTATCATCGAACAATTAATTGTAACAGATCACGCAGATATCGAATCTTTTTACGATTTACGTATTCAAATAAATCCTATTTATTTAAAGAATGCCTCTACGGTGCTCATTGTAATCCTTTTACTGCATTTTAGTGTTGCTTACCTCACAGGGAACCAGCTCACATTCATGCATTATGCGAGAAGAGATGTCAGAGTGTAAGGATTGTACAAATCGCGCTGCATTTATATACACTATCACTTCAAAGTGAATTCAATTTTATTCGTTTTTTTGCATTTCGACATGAGCGTAGAAAATGGATGACTTGTATTGCAAGGTACTGCCTCCAGAAGATGGAGAACTGTATACACGGTCGCTTGAAAGAGATGCTGGGAAATGCATTTTAAAAAAGAAATATATTGGTATAAATGTGAAACGCGAGCTCCACATTCCCTTCTTCTATGCTGTCATTTATTATGAATGGCTTTCAACTCCCTCTCCCTCCACGTGGGTGTACACCTCGCCTTGCTATTGGCTCGTCCCTGGGTGAGCTCTTTCACGATTGGTCCGCCGTGCAGGGGGTTTGGCCTCAAAGCCTACGCTGGATCTTTGGGATACTTTTTGTGTGCGAGACGACGTTTATTGTCGCTCATGTTCCGCGGGAGCCTGCGTGGGTACAAGTGAAGCCCAACGTCTCATCGCCGTGTGTCGAAGCTGAAAGCGTACTTTTAAAACCGAGGGGAATATACGTGTTTTTGTTTGGCCTGGACCAGCCTGCCCTTTTATGGTGTTCATTCAGCCATCCATGTAGCATTTAGCTGTGGGGACACGAAGGCCACGGATCGGCTTCCTCAACGTCCTCCTTATTTTTTTATTATTTTCCCTCGTCGACTGCATCCACCCCCTGTTCATCTTCCACCTCCCCGCGACCCGACAGGTTATCGGATGGACCAGCATCCCAGCGCCCGGAGCTGCACCAGCCGCGGGGCTTCTTCGTCCTGCGAGGCCGCCCCCGCCGAGCCCTCCATGAACCTCCACATCCACTCCACCACCGGCACCCGCTTCGAGCTCTCGCTGCCCCAGGAGGAGACCGTGGACGGGCTGAAGAGGAGGCTGTCGCAGCGGCTCAAAGTACCCAAAGAGAGGCTCGCGTTGCTGCACAAAGAAACGTAAGCCGAACATTTCCCTTTTGGTTGGTTGATTAAAACATTATTTGGTAGGGAAAGGCCGCCTGGTTTCGTCTGAGGAACTATTGGCTGCAAGGGTGGGAAACCTACAGCTCGTGGGCTTGCCATGCAATTCTCAAATTAAAGACAACCTTGGAAGACGTTACCCTAAAAGCTCAAATGCATGCAATACATTATCATCGTTCAACGTGCATTTAATCATTGCATCATATTTTACAAAAAAATCTGAGCTCTTCACATCCCTTCCAAAGTGATAGTCCTGCTTCCAAACATCGCTGGCGTCAGGTGGAATCCTCCTATCAATAAAATGATCGCTTTTCAGGCGATCTCAAAAACAGCATTTAGATTCAGTCATTAACATCGCATCGTTAAGAAGGGCAACCTATTTTCAACACTTTAGATTGGTCGATAATTTCTTCAAGTTACCAGATTTGTGAAGAAATATGAAATTTACCGAATTGTGTCAAAGGAGCTTTCGGCCCAACGCCAGCCAGCTCCATGCATAAAATTGACACCAGTTTGGCACTGTCAGTCAATTTCAGTGTCGTTTATGGGATGAACCTTGAGATGAATATGTTGGAAGTTACACAGTAAAGTATCAAAAAGCAAAAGCAACCTCTCAATGTCTTAACTTTTCCGAGAGGTGTTCAGGGAACAATGTGTTTCATTGTCCTGGTTGCAGGGCTGCATTGTGTCCTTTTGACATCGTAGGAACACCGAGTACATTGCAGTGCAGTCAGACAGCCACAGTCCTAAATGTATCACATCAAATCTGAACATAAGGGCAGATTATGCAGGTGTAGCCAATGTTATGGCGATGGTTTCGCAATTCCACGCAGGGGACGCGTGGGTCACTGAGATGATATCGATGGGACGGTGCATTGATTAATTTCTCCCACCTTCTAAACAGGGAGGCCAGAATAAATTGTTAATGCTCATGCATATGTGACTCATATAGACGTCAACGTGAGTAACCTAACACAAATCCGATTTTATATCGTTCCATCTGTGATTTAGTTTTTTTCCCTGTGTAATCCCATGTTACATGTCAAGGGTGAGTCTTGCTCTTGCGTGTGTCCGTTGCAGTGGAACGTTAGGTTGGGCGCCGCCTTGATGGGAAAAGGTAGTGGGTTTTCTCGCTCTCTTAGTGATGTGAAACCATAACGCTGCAGTATTAGCAAGTGGCTGAATGAATGAATGATTGAAGGGCAGGTTTAGCGGGGCTTAACAAAAGCGCCGGTGGTTTTATGCAAAAAGTAAGTAGGGAGGGGTGGTGCTTTAGAAGATGCAAACAGTACGTATTGTTTTTCGGCCTCTACCCACTCTTGCCCATTGTAATCACATTACCCTTTAAAACCTGCCTGCCCTCCTACCTCCGCCCCCCTCCCCTTTTTTTTTTTTTTTTAAATCCCCTCCTGCCCTTGTAACTATAAACCAACTCGCAAGTCGGTGACGGGGGTCTTTGTTCATCTGCACAGGGTGAAATTTGGGTCACGCTGGCTTTTCACTCAGCTGTCCATTGTAAGCGTCATCGGATCAGTCACGTGTATTGCATCATGTCACGTTTAAAGGAAACCGACCTTTGAGGCAGCACTAAAAGTTATTTCATCGATCACCAAGCAGGCTTTTTGATCCAAATTCATGTCTTGTGTTTATCGTTATTTTATTAACAATACGTGATGTATATTACTATGCCTGGGGAAGTAACCGGCAAACTGGTTTATAAGTGGCGCAGCTCAGTGTGGCATACAACCTCATACGCCGCCAGATATGCACTGCGAGTAATTGTCAGAGCCTCGCCATACTTGAAATTGAAACATGACAGCCAGATCAATACTTTCCCTCCACCCTCGGCTCTTTTGCCAAACTAGTTTTGAAGTCGGCGCGCCCCCGCAGAGATGGCTGTGTGTGTGCGCGAAGAGTGATATTGTCAGCACAGTCTAATTATCTCATTCCTCCATGAACCCCGCAGCAGACTAAGTTCGGGCAAACTCCAGGATCTTGGCGTCTCCGATGGGAGCAAGTTAACACTCGTACCGACCGTCGAAGCAGGATTAATGGTGAGGACAGCCCGCCGAACAATCCGCCGTGTGATCAGACTTTATTTATTTATTTTTAAAATGACATATTTGCCTTGTCTCCCCTCCTCCCCCCTCACAGTCTCAAGCATCAAGACCCGAGCAATCAGTCATGCAAGCGTTGGAGAGCTTGACCGAAACTCAGGTAAGAAGTCGATGATGGCTTTGTCAACTTGATCTCGGTTGGTTTCTTTTTCGTAGCGAACAGCATACGATTGCGGTCTTTTAAGTGATCTGGAGTTTCCCAGACTGTTTGAAGTTGTTATCTCGGTGAACAGCAAATGCATGACATGATTTATACAAACATGTCGCTGGCATCAGGTGGAAGCTCGTACCTCCAAAATCAACACTTTTCTGGAAACCCCAAAATATTTGTTCCCAAAAATGTTTGTTCAAGCCCTTTAACATTGGACAATAATTTGTAAAAATAACCAACACGTGTAGTCCTCACCTATCGTATAGACCAATAGTATAGATTAGTGATAATATGAAATTTACCAAATTGTGACATAGGAGGTTCCAGCGACACAAGTGCTCCAGCTTTACAGTGATGACCTAACACGAATTTGTACGTCGGAACGTATCGTAGTCAACCTACACTAATGTAACACAGTAAATACTTGTATGGAAAAATGCTTCTGGGCTGTAAATGGAAACACAACCAAATGAAAAAGTGCAGTAACCGAGTGTGTCGTGTGACAAAGTTTTCTCCCGCTACTGTGCAAACAAGTTCATTGCGTCCCATTTATTACTGTCATATGTCAATAATCTCGTAAACTGAGGACTCCCTTTTATGTTGTTTAACTAATGATAATCATACTCACCAACCACAAATTTACGACAATGAACATAAATCAAAAAGCTCTTTGTCATGAAATGCTGTAGACGTTACCAGGCTACAAAACAGTGACTGTCCGCATTGAAAGAGGACATTGTGAGTCACGCGGTCTCATGCATGTCATCTGTTGACATGCTACCTGTCGTTACGTCACCGCAAACCCGATTCGCTCCTTTGTCACATTGGTCTCACTGCCCTGTCAACTCCACCGCAACAAGAGGAACCGCAACAATCATACCAGAAAGGGAAGGGGCATTGTGTGAAAGCATAGTTTGCGTCTGTGTTAGTATTGTGTCTGTGTTTGTGAGAACGGGTAGCTTTGTCAGTCCAGCTATGCAGTAGAGAGCGGATGAGCCTCTAAAGCACAAAGCCTCTTTCGTATGTCTTAATCTACGCCTCTTAAGCAAGCCGAGCGAGCGTCATGCGTTTCGATATAACGGGGAGCAACACCCTCCTGTCTCCTGGTAACATATGCGGTTTATATGTGGAAGCGTCAGCCCTTCTGCCTCTGCAGTGACGCTTTCATGTGACGCTCCCAATGCGCAAGCAAGTTTCAAGGAAGTGCGCCGGGGCCGCGCTCGCTCATAAACCCCCCCGAGTGCTGGATTGTCAGATGAACGCCAGCATCCTAACGGCAAGTTGCGCGGCGGTGGGCCACGACGCCCCGTACCTGATGCAAAACCGCTCCTCCGGATTCCACCGAAATGCTCGTACGCCTTTTCGGCCGTGTCAGCGTGTGACTCAACCTCGGCTATCGAAAGCAACAGCTAAGGCGCCAAGGTGGCGGCACATCGACGACCGCGCGACGTACAAAGCGTGCTCGGCGACTTCCTTTCGCAAGCGTTGTGTAACTGCGTGGTGATTTCAAAACCAGAGTCGACGTTGGTTCTTACTGAGCAATTTATTAGTGAAACTGCAAAACTGCGTTTCGGAATCTCAAACTTTTGCATTTTGGTCTGACTTTGCTCCCTGGTGTGAACTTTGTTGGCCGTGGTGAGCGTGTGAACTCGTAGCAGCGAAGAAGCCACTGACATTATGTGTGTAGGTGTGTGTCAGTAGATGGGTGCTTTCGCTTCAGAACAGCGGTGGGTTGCCTATCTTTGCATCTTTACTGTCAAGTCAAGCATCAACTTAGAATATTCGTCGCCCTTGTCTTTATTGCCAGGTGTGTCGCTTTCTTAGGAATTTCTTATGCTACGTTATTGCTGCGCTCAATCCCGATTGCCAAACTAATAACAATAGCGCAGTCCTGCGTCATGGCGGTCAGTCTGATAGCAGGGTTAAAGGTTACAATGAAGACATTTGGCTGCTTTGTGAGGTTTTTTTTTTCCCCCCGAAAGAAATTGATTTCTCTTTATAATTCATGAAGCAGAACGGGACGATATAGATCCCGGCGAGATTTGATTGGAAAATACAAAACACCAAAGCCTTCTCTCATTCGACCCCCACTCCCTCTTCCCCTTTAATGCCGGGCCTATCAAAAATCAATCAATGCACTTAGCTCTTAAAAGTGTCTGACACGATAACTGATACGACCACACACCCCAAAAATAGCCTCGGGGAAATGTGTTCATGCGTTTGGCATAGTTGGGATTGGGGGAGTGGGGGTTAGCTGCGGTGTAGCCTGAGACGCTAACCTCTGAACCCTCCCAGATCTCGCCTATCCCACTTGTGTTTTGGAGTCAACGCACACTTTTACGCAACAAAGGGCGAAGACAGGATGTCGGCTTTTCATTTGTCATCTTTCATTCAAATTTCCTCTTATTGCCTTTCACATTTGCGCTCGCGTTCTCATTCTCCTCCGCATCCACTCGCTCGCTCGTGCGTGTACACGTTTGTGTCATACCAGAACTAGAACTACTTCCTGCTTCTGTGCCCGAGAATCATGGAAAATTTAATCCTACGAATGCAACCCAATTGATTTACATCTCTCTACATATGACTACATATTAGCAAAAATTACAACCTTAATTGTGCTCTATCTATCATTTATTTAACATTGAATACTTCCAAAAGAGTTCCATGTTTTGGCCGTGTGACTTGAATGTACTATCGACTTCATTTCGAGAAATAGCGGCGAAACTCAAGATCCAAATCTTGAATTTAGCATAATAACGATAATAGAAAAACAAGCCCAGCTGTTATTGAAATGGGTTTTGGGGCTCTCCCAAGCAGCGAGCTATCCATTAAACGCGCACTCCGCCTCAGTTTGACCGCGATGACAAGGACAATCCTGCCCGCCTTGACGTCCTGCTCTTGCCACCTCACTAGAGACTCTCTGCATGACATCTAAGTGGCGTTAAGCCACCGCCTTCCTGACAGCCCATCAAACCACAACAACTAGGCCGGGCCACTCTCGTCACCCTTATACGGTTCAGTGTTTACGTCTTACATATGCACATCCCGGAAGAACAGCAGCGTGCAAAGGGTCTATTTAAGAGGATTTCCGCTCTTATTCGGAGACTCGCGAGATGGCTCTGAGGAAAATGAAAGATGAGCGCCGAAAGCAGCATCTTTGCAAATTTTGGGCATTTGTTGGCGGCCACGTCCTCTTTCCAACTATTGATCTTGGCGTTTGAAAGAAAGAGAAGGATTATGTGTCCCTTCTCAGCACACGAGGGGACTATTTGCTCATTGATGCACATTGATGTTGAGTAAAACCCAACCAGGCAGGGAGGCAGGCATCACCCTTACCCCCC